CTAGTCTAAATAACTGAAAGCTGGCGAGGTCAAAAGCAATTTTTGAATGATAAAACTACGATACTGGCCATTTTGGGGAGCATCCTCGGTAACCCAGGCTATTTGGTACCGGCCAACTCTCGCCCGCTTTATAATAGTTTGTTCTTCCGTAAATCAGTCGCTTTTAACGCTTAATTCTGGATTCCAACTTTAAAGTCTGACACTATCTAAGTAAATTGAGGCCAGAAATATATCATTTTAGCCGCCCCTGGCGCGTAATACATATTTAATCTCCTTCCGCGCAGAAATGAGATCCTGGAGAATAAACACAAAACATATCAAAGTCAGAAGCTATATATACTCTTAAAATATGACCTATCAAACTAAGAATGACTTTAAATGGGAAACTTCAAATTTTTAAAGAACTATTTTCTACAACGCGTGGGGTCTTAATCCGTGCTTGGGTGAGTCAATTTGTTAATATTGATAAATATTAAATGCTGTATATACGGAATCTGTACCGTGGTGGGTTCCTACCAGACATGGGGTAATCGTAATAGTTTAATCGTAATCGATTGCAATTAAATACAATTTGTCCTTGTAATTGAATGTATTCTATTACTATTTTAATGCCGATTACATTTAATCGTAATTGCAATCATTACATGCGCAAAAGGTGTAATCGTCAATTACATTTCATTTACAAATCGATTACTTTGGCAACTTCAATTATAGAACTGTTGTATTATATAATGTGCAAATATGATATTTCATATTAAAAAATACTGCAAAGTACACTGGTTATAATATTTTAAACTAGTTTTACATTGAACAGATTCAATTAAAGGAAAACTTTATTGAATTGAAAAGTTTTACTTTTCTGAAGTTTCATTTAAAACTGAGTTATTTAATTGTACTGTTTGACTATACATCATCCTTCATCCTTAATTATATTCCATAGGTAGTTTCACCTTTTGTTACCAGTAATAAACAACTTTTATATTCTGACTGAGGCTTAACAAGTATTTGTGAAATCGTACAATAATACTTAGTTTGCTGTCCCCTCATCACTCAGTAAAAGTGTAAAACAAGGTCATGATTTTTTTGTCATACAGCACATAGTGTGGCTATTTCTATCATGTATGCACATAGAACAAGTGTTATGGCTACTAAGTTTTTTTGTTGTTTCTTTTTATATACCACCAAATTGTAAAGGAATAACAAAAGCAAAAATCAATTATGATACAATGTAACTCACGCATTTAAATTTAGTAGAAGGCACAGGTGTCAGTCATCCTGGTTATTTTGAATTGTGTGCTGCAGATGTGTTCATGTTTTTGTGTGTAAATAAACATTTTAGTGTTATATGGATTTTTTTTATATTTTTTACTGCTATGAAAACAATGAAAAATAATCGTAAATGTAACCGGCTACATTTTTCAGAGTAATTGTAATTTAATCGGTTAATGTAATTGTAATCTAAATTTTATTGATAGAATCGTAATTAAATGGATTATATTAAGAAGTAATTAGCCCATTGTCTGGTCTCTGACAATGCCAAAAATCACCTAGTATTGGCCATTTAACCATGTACATATACATATGTAGATCCATAATCTGGCCTTGGTATAAAAGCTTATTTGGATAAATATCAAGATTTTAGCGTTAAAATTGGTCATTTTAGGATTTTGCACATAAAATACCAAGTATAAATCGAGATATCCTAGTAATGTTACAGCATTTAAAATAATTTAATTGATAAGACTGCATACAGTACTTCTTCGCACGAGAAGATAATCAATACATGAAAAGGTTATGTTATTAGCAAGAAATGAGTCAATATACGTCAACTTAAAGATTCTTCAGTAAGTAATTTACGCAAAAAAAACACAACAACAACAAACAACAACACCAAAACAACAAAAATCGTGAACAGATACACATGACAGAAATTGTTAAATGTTTATGTTATAATAAATAGAACATCATTTATACGATCTATCGGCGCTAGTTGTATTGTCCCTATATTACACTCAAATGACCATGGAACCAGAGCAAAAATGGAGCCCAAAATTGCCCATCTATGTGGCAAGTGAGTATTTTTGAAACTGCAACAAGACACTTTTTTTTTTTGAAGTTTTTGAGAAATAAAAATGATAGCATTAATGGGCCTTTATTATCAGTTGCTGGACAAGTAGGTGACAGCTTCTCGTCCCGTAAGCTTATAAAACCTGTCTTCTCATTACATTGATATTATCATTTTATAATTAATATAATAAATAACATCAAAAACGCGTACACTCTATAATTCATGTTTGAAATGACAAATGGTGATGTTGTTTATAATAAAGACGAATATCATGTTATTGGTAATTCTAACGAATCAATTGAATGTGCGTGATTGGTTTTGAATAATGATTTATTTCCTACATTTATAGTTAGCTCACATTTCTAGTCAAGTAAAATGCAGTTTATGATTATTATTTCAACATGATATCACCTTGAAAGAAGATATTAAATAATTCTTAAGAAACAAAATCAGGATATATGACACGATATGTTCCATAATGGAAAATGATTTACCGCAAGTACATGTTTATTGTGCTGTTATATTATGTGACCATTTATAAAATAAGTTCTGAAAATGCTAAAAAGCAATTAATTTGAGAGCATAAACATTATTTATGTTTAATCACTTTTCTTATTGGAACGCCATATTCATGTATGCTACATGGCCCATTCCAAACGGGCCTAGCGATGTCGGCGCGTCAAAGGGATAAGGGGATACGTCTGCAAGGTCTTCTCGATCGCAAATTATCTTATGCAGCATTCTACGTACCGTCTGCGTGGAAACACGGACCCCTGCAGCATAAGCAAAGTCATTTCGAAGAGAAGTTGCTGTTGGAAACCTTTACGACTGCCTGAACCGCCAAAACAACACAATGAGCTGGAGCTTGTGACCCTTTCCCATCCTACCAGCATGCCTACCTGGCAGGGTGATACCAATGATAAGCGGTATTCTCATCACCCGCTCTGGTGATGACGTGTTAGATGTACACCAAGCAGCCCCACCAACCTGGCGGAAGGAGGCCGACGACGCGTTGAACGGATGTATATCTTTTTGATTGTACGGTGTAAAGTTACAAACACAAAGATGAAGTTGAAAATGAGTAGCGTGTTCATATGTATATCAGATATTTCCGACACAAAAAAGTATGGACAAAATCGTATTTTACACAATGAATGATTCAACGCAGTTTTAATACTTTCTTATATCTTTTTCTTCTGTAGCTCTACAATATAGAATCAAAAGCAGGCGACCGCTGTTTATTATGTCACACATGCGTGCTATATGAAATGTTGATATCTCAGGATTATCTAATAATTACAGACTCTTAACGTCAAAACAATCACCAACTGTGACGTCATGAGGTTTTTGCAACAGGTACGTAACAAAGCAACGTTTCTGTCAATTGAGTGATAATAACCGGATAATGAAGATATTTGGATAATGATAACAGTGTTTTTTCCGTTATCTAGAGCAGGAGATAATTTACTAAATGAAAATTGACTTTATCTATCACTACCACGTTGATAATTGTGGTTTATTTTCACAACATTTATCGTTTTGCCCTTTCAGTTAAATCGTTTATTGTATACAATATTAGCTGATATCAAGATCGCATCAGTTTTGATTCATTACTAATTCCCCTGCAAGACATCATACCAATGTAGCTTAACTCTCTTACATTATTTGAATTATCTAGGCCTTAAACTAGAAACATGCAATAAATTATAAATACTATTTTTGTTAGTCATTTATTTTCATTACATGATATTAATTTCTCGGAACACGTCTTTCAAACTTAATCATTCGATATCACGCTTATTTCAATTATCTACTATTAGATGTAAATATTTAAATAGCATCTTAACAAATAAATGAATCATCCTTAATCTTAGTTCAATTGAAATTAGTAACTTCTTGGTGCAGTTTAGAACATGCAAGGTTTATAATTATACAGGACCTGAAAATAAATGTCCATGCCATAATTACCAAACTTTTACAATTTTGTCCCTTTTGTCAACTTTTCATCATCGTTCCAGGTCACAACACACCAGATACAGTTTTGTTACACTTATGTCTTGTTATTTTCATTTCTCTATTGTTTGACGATATTGTTTAGGCATACCTTTAACTTAAATCTAAACATTCTACGATTAAAATGAAAAGTCGTTCTGTTACATCAGTAAAGTCTTAATAATTTATAAATCTTCAACAAATATATATGTATATTGTCAAATCAAAACCATGAAGATTTTAAGTAGGGGTCGGTGGCTGTGCGGGGCAAGGGGGGAATGTCTACTTTTCAAATCGTGAAACTGGTAAAGCCCGGTTTCATCAATGACTTTATATGTTAGTTGGAAACAAACTCAGGAAATTTTAATTAACCCTTTCATCAGAGCCCTAGCAAAGATAAAATTTTTAAAAGAATTTAAAACAGGGGTTTACGTTTTTGGGAAAATTTAAGGAAAATATTGATCCCTTTAAAACTGCCCTTTTACATGCTTTTTGGAAAAAGGACATTTGTTTTGGGAAGGGGGCTATAAAAAAACGGGGAAAGTGTGATAAAAAAGTAAACAGGGACACTTTAAAACCCAAAATGAAATTGAGAAATTGCTTAAATGGACCAATCTAGTTTATTCAAAACCTCGCGTGACTTACATGACTTTCTTGAGGTCATGTTTTCTGAAAATGGTTATTTAGTGCTATGACATTTCGTACTTATTAGGCAATTGACAAAGACTGAACGAGTCCCTTCTACACATAGGGGAACAATAATCAACTTCAGTTGGGTGGCTAACTTCAATTTTTATTTTAAGAAAAAGCGAGATAACTTGGGGGAAATGGTTGCTAGAGGCCAGGGCAATGACTATTGTCTGCCCAAATAGGTTAAATGTACGGCAAGATTGGCAGACATTACTAGTATATGTGTGAGGAAGAGGGCATAAAAACAACATTGTTATTTCTAAATGTGATGTTTAATTACTTGTAAGATTCTTAGTTACAAGAAAAATAATATTTAAGACAAAACAGAAATACTATAGACGTAATACACATACAAAAGAAGAATGAATTTTATAAGCTTTTACTTTTAATTTATTATATTGTTCTGGCATTAAATTGAAATTTTTAAAGAAATCAAACCATTTTTACACAACATTGATACAGATAGCTCAAACCTAGATATTATTTAATCCTTGCTGTCCATTGTTAAATGGCTTTCATTGCTGGTTACAAAACCTTGCTGTCCTAATTTCTACTTCACATTACTTTAGCACTCAACATAATTGTTCCGAAATAAAAATCTATAAATTAAACATGATAAGTTTGTAAGTTATGCATTGCCCATGCTGTTCAACACTGTTTGTTCTAAATATGGGCGGTGCTTGTTTTGTGGGCGGTGCTTGTTTAGTCTTCGGTCCATTCAAATGGCTCTGGGGGCTCTGGCTCCTCCTCTTCCTCAACCTTTGGACCACCCGCTAAAATGATAAAAGAAATGTATCAGTTAATTAAACGACAACAAAAACTTACAGTTTATCGCATTAAAGATCTTATTACAGTCTTTACAGTAAAAGAAATATAAGTTTTACAATATGAACATGGACTTTTTAGATAAAACAAAATTTAACACAGTCATTTTTTTGACATCAATATCCAGTCAATCAAGTACATGTACACTGCTTCAATGACTCAGCTGAATGTGTATATAAGACATGTTTTAATTTTAATGTAAGAGATTACAATATCCCAGTTCCAAAATTGATCTGTCAACACAGACTGATCAGACTTCAGGCTTTTTATGCCACTTCAACATGGGCATATTTTCAAGTTTTGGAATATAATTATAATTATACCAAATTCTTAAGTTGATATGAGATCCTTGATAGAAAACATGAGGTCAAAGGAAAACTTACCAATTACAGGTTCCACGATTTCTTCTTTCTCTCCAGGTTTAACATCCTTCATTAGAATGATTCCTCCATTACATATATCCTTCATTGGTGTATATCGCGACCCTTCTGGCATTGTCAACACCTTCAACTAAACATGGGTAAAATACATTAGTATTCACTTCAAAATATAAACTAGATTCTTTTTTTTTTTTAAACTTGGTTTAAGCCTTAACATTTTACAATCACGATTCATGAGCCAGCAGAAAAATATTTTACCCGCTTATCACTTGTCAGAGAAGAAAACTTACACATCTTGTGGTCAACCTAATTTTTTTAACATTTCAGCCTTACACTAATGAGTAAATTAAATCTATATTTATATATGATGTAATAAGTCCGTGATATCAAATATGATAAACAAGATCAACAAGGAAAGGCTGCGTTCAATGGTTCATCCAAATTCATTAACTAAAGAAAATGATGACAGGTAAATGACACTTAAGTATAAAATGAAAGATCAACAAAGTAGAGAGACATTCACTAATACGCAGCTAGCCAAACAGAACCATCAGTCATGCAAGTCTGATAGAATGAAGTTTGGTAAGCTTTTTCAAAACAAACAGGTTAATATACCTAACTTATGAATTGATATTTCAATAAAATGGTGTTGTATTCAATAGCATTTTCCTCTCCTGAAAATGATAAAAGCTTTTAAATGTATATGAATGACAAGTATACCTGGGCTCTCATTGTACGGGCTGGGTTGTTCAGGATTTCAAAATTTGGCTCTGGTTCCTTTTTCTTTTCTTCTTTTTCCTTCTCTATTTCCTTTTCTTTTTCTTTCTCTGCATCTGCCTTCTCTGCTGCTTTCTTCTCTGTACTGTCGTCAGCTTTTTCATCCTAAAATACAAATGTTCTATATATCTACGAGGGATGATCAAAAATAAACCGGACTGTGACTGGCAATTGAAGAATTTTCATCCTATCACTTATTGTTATATATCACACTTAATCGGAAAACAATACCTGTAAACTGATACTATATCTAATCTGATAACGCAAATAGCGTGTCCGTAACAGCGAATTCAAAAACCATGGTAACGCACACCCGGCGCAGTGCGTAAATTCGCCTTGACATGAGGCGCTTTATGCTGCGTGTATTTTACAATATGGCACATTTAGATTTCAAAATACGCCAAAACGTCATGTACCATATCTTTGACGTTGTCAGTAAAAATGACTTCATTTAAACCATATTTATGTTTACAATCACAATTCAAACGTCACATGTTAATGAAATACTCGCGTTAAAACTATGTCGTCGGAATGTCTCGAAAATCGATCAATAGGACAAATTTGTCAAATGTAAGACGAGAAACTGTTTAAAACGTAGAAAAAGATTATGGCCATCAAGGGAAAAAGTTCCAGAAAGCCACAGCATATTTTTTGATTAGCTTAAAAGATTAAGAAAGGATAATAGAGAAATAGAAACAAGTAAGGGAGAGACAGAAAAAAAGACATTTTCAAGGACGTTGGTGACGTCAATCGCCAAGACGTTGAAAAATAACAGTCGATTGACTGCGGACATTGTCAACGATGCTCGACAGTAACTACGGGACGATGCAGTCAACTCTGAGGATCTTAAAATGATAATAGTTAATGCATTAATTACATGTATTGTATTCTTGGTTTACAATTGTATCAATTATTTTCTTATTTACGCAGTAGTCTTATGGAGAAATTGTGTCAACAATTTAACAGCCACTGTTCAAATTGGCTATGCGTTTTATTTATTTTAAAATAATGACAATTTTGATCATAGTTGTATTATTCTGTTATTTTTTCGTATGTATGATACATTATCATTCAGCAACATTATTTTACATTATTTGTAATACATAATATAGTTAATTGCATGTGCGATTTTTCAACAATCAAGTTACAGAACGAAATAACGGAAGTTTGCGTCATTACAAGAGCTCTTTATCACCATTCATTCTATTACAATACAATATGATACCCACTTGTACAGAAATATATATAGGCAGGGGATCCGCCGCATCAATAACATGACTGTACCACGTATTGGCCTACTCCGTGAATGAGTAAAAAGCTGCTCCGTTAAGGACAATACGCCTGTGACGTCGTTAACGTCAATTTCAAAGTTATACCGTGCGCCACATTGCTTTACATGTGTATGCCAATAACAGCATAACTTTTTTCTTTGTTAATATTTCTTGTTGGCATTTTTGTATCATTTAGGGGATAGATTCCGATTTATTTTCCGTGTATTGTTATGTAAATTCATTTAACAGGTTAAGAATCATTTACAAAGTCCGGTTAATTTTTGATCATCCCTCGTAACTATCTTAACAAAGATTTTACAAAACATTAGAATAAATCAACTGCATCTTATTGTATTGGATTTAAACTCAGGGACTTTATCTTATACATTAATACACACAATACTGTCAACCAATAAACCAAAGATAGCAATCCAGGAAGGTGTGCGTACATTTATAAATTTAAATCAAGGCTGAATAACAAATATTTGTAGTTTATAACATTCTGTAAAGCACTATTTTAGGGGTATGTGAAATGCAAAAATGATGATTTTGAAAATGTCAAATTGAATAAATTTCACCACTATGAAACATTTTATGTAAATATGCAAACATTTATCAGCTAAATATAACATTTATATTCAGTTAGTCTATTAGAATTCTATGCAAATAAAAAAGCACAACAAAATGAGACATATTGCTTGACAAATATATTTTATAAATGAGTCAAATCATGCAAATTATTGTTCTGTGAAATATTGCAAATACTTTAAGTTACAATATTACAAGAAATATTACATCAAGAAATTCAAAATCAGCCACCATTGTTTACATTTACAATTCATTAAATACACCAGACAATGTCATCAACATTTTACTGTTCATTGCTTTTTAGAGTTTTCTATACATCCAATAGATATTCTATTTCACTTACCACTTCCATTTTTTCTTCATCTTTTTTCTTTTCCGCTTCTTTTTTCTTTTGTTTAGCTGTGATACTCAATATAGCAGTTTCTACTTTATCTTTCTGTTTCTCTTTCTTCTCCTCCAGGTTCGGTGGGTACGCAAATGTTGATGGCTTCGCATTTGACCTCATCTCTACCTTTGGCATCTACATATTTGAGAAAAGAATGGAACCTTAGTTAACATTGTAGTGTATTAAACAATTTCCTTAAAAAGTAAATGCTGATTTTGTTATATAGAATGGTCCAACTCCCATTTTTGAAATGTCAATTTTGAACTTTTGGGATAACAAGATGATAAAAGTTATTTTACCACCAGTATAGAGGAGCCTGGACAGACTACACAGCTTGCGAGACTCTATAGCAGTGGCATAGGTTTCAGCAGGATTAGAGTTAGAACCAAACCAATCAATCTTGAACACCAGACCAATCATTCTGATGGCAACAATATGCAACATCACTTATACATATATTTCTTTTCAACTCTTTTTAAGACTTTCCAAATATATATTTTTATGGAAGACTCCAGCTGACCATCTGTGCATTATTTCAGACACCTAAGAAGAATGAGCAATCTTCTACAAGTTAGCTGGATAGCTTGATCAAATGATGGTCATAAGAAAACACTCAACATATTTACCTATACAGTTACTATATGGATACTATATGGAGTAAATAACAACTGGAAGTATGTGATTACTTATACCACTTGTAATAAACATATTAATTTTTATCACATATATTGTGATATTACTCACCTTAAGGTCGCTGTTCAGACCAATAGTACATGTTGGAGTAAATGATAGAGACAGGAAGTGAGTTAGTGGGTACCAGAACCAGAACTGTGAGAACACTAGGATACCAACAATAGCTTCCAAGTTACTATGGCCTGTCCTTGATTGTAGTGATATTGTCATGTTTCTACCACCTGTATAATATATAGTACAACTTTAAAGTTCATGTGACGCTGACATCATGACCTGTTTATTGTTTATTATTTCTATATGTACCCTGAAGAAGGCTGTTCAGCCGAAACTTAGGTATATTAAAGAGCACTTTAAGAATTTGCAGTTGATTGCTTATTTTTTTACTATTTATAAAGTTCCAATACCTCTTTTTCCGTTTGCCAACAAGATTTTTGTAGTTCAGCAACCTTTAAACACGATATATTGACATATGACTTTTATATTTTATTAAGATAAATGGCCATCTAAATGCATTATTTTCTTTGCTAAGAATAAAAATCTTAACTGTGGTCTCTTATAAAAAAAACAACTTATTCCTATTATAAATTATTGTGTTAAATAGGTTCAATACAAAATAGGTTCAATACAAAAATGACATAATGAAGTCTCTATGGTTCTAATTTAAGCCTGCAGTGTTCAGTTTATCACTCTTTAAATATTTAATATGAAAAAAGTTGCACAATCTGGTACATTCAGATATGCTGTAAGATGTATTTTGCATGACAGGAACAAATATCTGAATTATCTATGGTTGAAATATGCCCTTTTACTGCTGAACACTGCCAATATTTTTACATGTTATCATCTGTAGTAGTAAATTACTAGTAGTATTTGAAAATCTGCTCATTTCAAACATGTTTATTGTAAAGATAGACCTGGAAAACATAGCATGTATGCACATTTTCTTAATTCTATGGGGATAGTTGCCTGTACAACAACTAGTAAGTCATGTTATGATGAACTTTTAACTGTGAAAAATGATCAAATTTTCGATCAAATTCTCGTATCCCAGGAGAGGTCTGATAAATGTAGATTTCACACATCTTTTCAGATGTTACAGACTCAAAGATCAAATTATGAATTCCCTCTTTTATGACATTTGTATGTAAATTTCAAGTTGTATAAAATGATAGACACATTAAGTACATTGTGAGAGACATGACTCCAGAATGTCTTGAAGAATACATTAAGTCATCACAGCTCATGTGGTATTCTCAATTAAGATAGAGATATTTTCACACCGTTTGTTCTGTAATACACATATTTCCAACTGGCATTGTTTTCAGACAATGCATTACGATTTTTTTTTATGAAATTAAAATTTTATAGAAGAATTATGTTTCACAAACGGTTTCATGGTAACTTTTTGGCATATCTGATTTTGAACAATACCCCCGAGTGATTCTCCTACAAATATTTGAGATACAATTTCAGTATAACCACTGATATAGTTCACTGTGACATGAGGTACATACCTGCATCAATGATGCCCTGTGCTAAAATAGCTCCAAATTTAGCTATGATGTCATCGTGTTTGTCACTAATGATCTTACTGTACATCTGACGAAAATGGGCAACCTGAAATCATAACATCACATGTAACATAACATCAAACATGATTCTGAGAAAATTATTATAGTCAATTTTAAAATAAGTATTCAAATTCATGGTGATATTTTTGTTGAAGAAATGTTTTACACCAACAAAGTCAGCAACTTTTTAGTATTAACTCAGTTAGTGATAACAAAATCATATTTCCTTTTTTTCCAGGTTTAAGATACATACTGTATAATTGTCAGTTCAGTCTTAACACTGGAGTTATTTAAACCTCAATATTCAAGATGCTAATATAAAATGTTTTCACATATAAAGAAAAACAATGTCACTCATGGGATTCCATTCTCACAAAGGTAAGATAGAATAAAAATTTACACAAGTTCATTGTTAGTGTTTATCTGTATTAGTATGCTACCAGGAAGCTAAATTTAGCAACAAGATAAGATATAGTTCATGAAATTGATATAAGAAATACTATTAAAATCTGCCAGGTTAGTGGACAGGTGTTTTAATGAGAATATCTGTATAAAAATGTGCAATCTTATCAGTGTAACAGGTGAGGAGCAAAATGATGCTTCCTCAATAACATCACCCATTCTTCATTTCCTTCACAGTGTGTACTTCCAACTTATACAAATTAAATGTTTTATGCATCATTTATTTGGTGTAAAACAGTTGTATCTCCATGTTCATAACCCTATATTGTCTCTAGAAACAGTTCAATAGCTTTTTTTAAGACCTATACTTGCTCTAGAAACAATTTAGTAGCTTTGTCCAAAGCCCTATACTGTCTCTAGAAACTGTTGCTGCAACTTTTGCAGCTGGTAATTTTGTTTGTTTGATTGGGTTTTACGTCACACCGACACAGTATAGGTCATATGGCGATATTGGAGGAAGACCCCAGGTGCCCTTCTGTGCATTAGTTCAGGCATGAACGGGCACCTGAGTAGAACCACCGACGTTCCGTAAGCTAGCTGGATAGCTTCCTCACATGAAAGAATCCAAAGTCCCTGTCTGGATTCGAACCAAAGCGGTGAGGGGCAAGTGGGGGCAACAGTTGCATCAAAATTGAACAAACTGTAACGAACAACCGTTTGCAGAACATGTTTATGCTTCAACTTTCATTTAAGCAAATAGCTTTAACTAGGAAGTCTTCTTTGTACAAATCAAGATAAATTCTATTGACAAGTTCTTCTCTGCTTACAGATATAGAAATAAATCAACTGACCAAGCAGTATTCAATTTTCGTACAGGAACACTTAATATTCTAACAACTTAGGCATAGACTTCATTAGAATCGTTAACAGCTATATAATTCTTACCTGCATGCTTTTGGGTCTGTTGTAAAAAAGTATATTTTATTAGAATGACTCATACTGTTAGAATCAAATGGACTGGCTAAAAAACTTGTCCAATCCTAAGTGAAGGACTTATATTTAAAAAAACTTGTATAGAGTCACCTTCATAGTAATCATGTTTACATGAATATCATTAAGGAAATGATTATCTTTTTCCGTTACGGAACCATTTAAATGACCTACCCTAGAAAAAGTGCTTCTTATGTTGTAAAACTAGTATAAATGAGCCCAATTGCAATGTTCATCTGGCAAATACTTATCTAGTTGTTACTTAGGTGTTCTTTAACAAGAAGATATATAATTGTCTACCCTAACAATGACTTCATTTGTTGTACAAATAATACCCGGCGGAGCATATATATGTCCTCCTTAGGGCAAGTACTTCATTCTGTTGCACAAGAATCATGGCCGAGGCAATCAGGGCCCCTTGTCTGACATAGTTTACAGGATCATTTGTCATAGGCTCTATCAAGTTCATTGCTTCCTGAAATATTAAATGTATGAAATTTATAAAATGAACATCTTAAAGGCAGGGTAATATACTGATAAGCCTGAATGCAAAGTTTTTTGGTTGGAATCACATATTATCCTTTAATGACAATAGAGATAATTATGTTCATGAAAAATTTCCAAAACATGTCTTATATAAACCATACTAATGACCTCAAAGATAATAGCAATCCAGGCAATGTCCACAAGTTTCACAACCCTAGACTTATTCTTTAAGTTATTGTTGAGCAGACAAAGATTTCACACTAAGTGTCTGTGACCTTGACCTTTGACCTAATGGCCCCAAAAAACAAGAGACATCTACATGAACTTGCAATGACCAATCTTCATACTAATTATGAAAACAGCATACCATATAGTTATCGAGTAATTGTGCAGAAGTCTATGGTTAACAGACACACAGACATGCACCATAATTATCTTAATACCACAGAAGTAACCTTCAGGCATATAAAATACTTATCTTTTTTCCATTAAGGGATAACCACTTTAAATAGACCTAGATAAAGACAACAAGAAAATTGCTTCTATATAGGCTTCTAAAAACCAGCTCCATTAAACTGAGCCGGCAACATTTTCAATTTGCCATTTTGGGCGATCTTTAATTCTGTTTTTATCTGTTCTAGGTGTTGTGATTATTCCATTATTTTCCCAAAATCCATGCATAAGTTGTATGTACTCTCATCTATGACATTAACAATAATTGTACAAGTTTCAGAGTAATTTTTTACCTTTAGTCCAGTACCAGCACATGCTATACCAAGAGCCATGGCAGCCCCAAATCTCACATGCGGGTTGTAACTCTCTGACAGCAAGGAGACAACACTTGGACATTGCTCTGGTGTTCTGAAAATATATATCAATTAGAAATTTAAGAAATTTTAAATCAGTGAAATTTCACTAAGAAATATTTAGTTCCAATTTTCTGAAATATAAAATTATTTGAAAACTAAAGTTAAAATTTGTATAATTGACATGTAATTTTCTGATATTCCTGAACTTAATTATCACACATGGTTTATTTGCTAATAATACCCAATATATCATTATCCATCCGAAAACAACTATTTCAATTAATTTTTTGTGTGAATTATTGTAAAATAACATGAAAACAATCAAATTTCCAATTATTTTTTTGTTTAAATAATAGCACCTAAAGCCAGTTATTCACTTGTGTGAATGTAGAAATACCTGTAAAATCTTTTAATGATGTGAACATGAATAAATAAACACCGATGTAAGCTTCCCGACAAAACTCTACAAACATGCCTTAATTTGAGTAAAGTATACCAGTTTTTTACCCCACAAACCTTACCCCACTTAAAATGAAACCCTCACCCAAGTGTAGAGGTCCATTAAAGTCACCAATGCCTGTTTCTCCATTTTTCTTACTATAATATCATAATAGTTCTTTTACCTGCACAAAAAAGTTTATAGCCACCTTAGAGCTACTGAATGAATAGATTGACTGTTATCTATCACTGCTCTAAAATCTATTCAGTATCTGCATGAGTGGGAAGGACAACAGGACAAACCAGTGTCTACCCTACACATGTAAAAAAATTCGGGAAGTGTGAATAACAGATTTTCATGCACAAGTTGATCATCCCTTTTCCCTTTGTTTCAGCATATTTAGTTAAATATCATAAAATGTTCTTAGCAAAAGACATTATATAATCAATTATTTTCTATTATTATCTAACTGTATTGATCAGGAATCATGTTCTCTTAAACTATTGCACAATAGCTCCATAGCGAACTATTTAACAAAATTTCCTAACATAATAGACAATAATTGATGGCTCATTATTTGACAGGATCTGATGACGTAAAACTAAAACATACAAATATTGCAAAATCTATATTACATAAACCATAATTGTCTGTTCAAAAAGATAATTGTAATAATCAAAGGAGCAATTTACAGAAAAAAACTACACGTAATTGTAGTTAACAAAGTGCATTACTCCATATCTTATTTTTACTTGGTATAAATCTGTATCTATTTTAAACCCCTTTCTTATAACTTATTTACTTGGTTACTTTGTATGAAGTTATATTTTATTACTCTTCACAACTGATCTCAACAATTTATTATGAAATTATAATTAATATTTAATTAATTACTTAATAGGAATCTGTACCTATTTCTCTATATTACCTATTGCATTTGTTTGGTATGAACTTATATCTATTTCTGTATATTACCTATTGCATTTGTTTGGTATGAACTTATATCTATTTCTGTATATTACCTATTGCATTTGTTTGGTATGAACTTATATCTATTTCTGTATATTACCTATTGCATTTGTTTGGTATGAACTTATATCTATTTCTGTATATTACATATTGCATTTGTTTGGTATGAACTTACATCTATTTCTGTATATTATCTATTGCATTTGTTTGGTATGAACTTATATCTATTTCTGTATATTATCTATTGCATTTGTTTGGTATGAACTTATATCTATTTCTGTATATTACCTATTGCATTTGTTTGGTATGAACTTATATCTATTTCTGTATATTATCTATTGCATTTGTTTGGTATGAACTTACATCTTTTTCTGTATATTACCTATTGCATTTGTTTGGTATGAACTTACATCTAATTCTGTATATTACCTATTGCATTTGTTTGGTATGAACTTATGTCTATTTCTGATTATTACATATTGCATTTGTTTGGTATGAACTTATATTTTCTAATCTTATTTATTTTCTATGAACATATAATAAAATGATGATACATTAAAAGATAAAACATGTAAAAGAAAGCAGCAACAATTGAAAATCTAATGTAAACTCTTAAAATTAAATTTATTTTGCACACTTCAATCCATCTTGAACAGCCTCTACTAAACAATAGCAACACATTATCCATATTAATATCTCCAACAGAAATATAAATCTTTAAATCTTATTGTCAGTCATGGAGAATTCTTGTCAGACAATATTCACGAGAGTTATACAGAGCTTAACATACATATGATATAATGTCAATTTACAAAACAGAATGACACCTGACCTGTGTTACTACTTACCATCATATATGGTTTTTGTAAAATATTCTGTTATTATTACCTATTAAAATGGAATAATTTAACCTTTGGCATTGTTTAATTGGATCTTTATTGTTTACCATGATTTTAACCAAAATTGTTTCACAATTTTTACTATCATTGTAAAAATACGGCCTTTATCAGCCAGGTCTTTTCATGAGCTACAGCCCTTGAACTGACGGAAAATACTGGGTGGTTTTGGAATTGCATGACTGATGCATACCAGTTATTTTCTTGCTGATAAAGATTAAGTAATATTTAAAGAATCAAGAGTACAAGACTTTGCAACATTTTCTTAATAAAAAAAAGATTTTTTTTATATATATTTACAAACATGTATAGCAAGGTGACAGTAAGATGAATGAGGAAATGATGTAAAATGAGTTTAGTACTGTTCCTAGATTCTTCCTCAGTGTAAAATAGTTGCCTTTTTTACCTTCTTATCAAAGATATCAGACAGAAAATGAAACTGAGCCAAAACCAGGCATGATCAAACACATAAAATGCATATATCAAGTGTTTCCTTGTTTTCACAATAAATATATACAATGGGTTTGATCTAGTTCAACAAAATATATTTTGTTAGCTTAGGCCAATACTTTAGTGATGATAGTTTGCCATTACAGGACCTAAAGATTAAAACAGCAGGAACATACTATGTCATTTATTTTTTCAGCAATCAATTAAGTACCAAATAATTATCAAATATGATATCATTTAAATTTTCAACCACCAATTAAGTACCAGATAATTATCTTTTGTTAATAAGTTCCCATATAATCATTTGAAGAAGCAACTTTTTACATGTAAATGTAACCAAACAATATTTGAAAGTTGGCCTTACTTGCATTTTTTTGCAGCCATTATTCTGTATTTCCTAGGTGTATGATAATTCTGAAATTTGTAGGTATGTAACAACATTTACAGTGATAAGTTTATTACAACAAGAACCAGAACTAATTTAATGTAATAATCAGGAAGAAAAAATCACTATCATGAACTTCATTTCAACTTTGAAAACTAATAAAAAATGGTAACCATATCAACCAAACACTAAAAGTTTCTAGAACATTTATAGGTTCATCTTCCATACTAGAATTCTGCAGTAAATCTGTTGTTTTTTGTTTTTTTTTTTAAAGTCAGCCAGCATTGTAAAGTGACAGTTATAAACATAGTATAGTTCAAAAATATTGACATTACAAATCCTCACATTTAGAATGAACAGTTCATAATTCAAAGTAGTACTGTAATTGTTAATTAACACCATGCCTTAACTCTCTAATTTTAAATTGTATTAATTAGATATCAATTATTTAACTCTTTCTTTGTCATTAACTCAATGAGTATATAGAAATTTTGACAATCAAATTTAAAGTGCTTCATACAACATTGATATAAATCACTGATAAAGTTATAACAATTTTGAAACCATTCTTAGGAAATAGATATCAAATTTGAGCATATTGTTGTAGAATAATGCATGGTTTGAGTTCAAATAGACCTGAGTGATTAATTACAAACCATTTAAAAAACATTATTATACTATAATGCAAGAAAAAGCAATATCTGTTTCCATTTAAACATGCTCATAAAAAGGAGAAGTGATAAGAATATGTTGAACTACATTGAGAGTAGAAATTATTTTCCTGACATCATTTTGAATTATTGACATCACATATGACGTCATATGACACATAACCATTTGTTGTTTTATGCTGTGCATGTATCATGTAATAATGCATTTGATGGCCTTCTCTTTTTGAATGGTGTAAAACCTGTTAGAATGTTATTATTCATTATATCACAATTTACATGAGTTCATGTTATGCTAAAATCTCTCATATTAATTCTGATATAAAGTTAAAGAACAATTTTAAAAGTATTGCCATGTATTCTCTAATTATCCTATGATTGAACAGGTAGTTTGATAGTTTTACTAACCAACATCTTTACTGTACTGCATGCACACCAGAGTTTTACTATCTGTTAATACATCTACTATTTCTCCTAGAATCTCTCTAATATATACCTCCACTGTTATACAAACTACGGTAGAACATACTGCCATAAACAGTTCATTACTATAGACAATTTTTTTGTTTCGTTCACATACAGTCCTATATTGGATTAAGTATTACATTAATTGATGGGGAGATATATATTGTTTGATGTTCATAGCTGGAAATTACGTAAATCAAGTGTTTACTTCTAAGAGAAACGGACAATCTATTTAATTCTTTTTCAAACAGAAATAACAGAAAATTTAATTGGTATTATAGACACGTTTGAAAAATGAAACAGTTAATGTATTTTGGACACTACTATAAAAAGAAAATTAAATAATTTTGGGAAAAAAAACCCAAATATATTAGTAAGTAAAAAATTTAGAGAAAAAAATAATTATCAAATTTTATTATAGAATTTCTTTAATTTCATTTCAACATATTAAGAGGCTTACCACCAGGAAACAGTGATTATTTTGTTAAAGGGGGAAATCGGAAAATTGACTGATCAGAAATAAGTTTTCCCCGATTTTCATTTTATCGGATATCACTTAATGGTGTAGGATAGTGGATTTATAGCCATTCACTGTAAACTTGTTGTTGTATTCTATACAATATCACTTATGTATGGAGAGATTAGTTGATATGATGTTTTGATAAGTAAGTTTACTTCTTTTATTTTCATTGTATAAATCAATCTGCAATTCTATAATTTTTCATGATTTAAAAAATGCAATATAAAAAACATTTCTTTTATTTCTTTATTTGAAATTTACATCAAGTAGGATATTTGTTTCAATTTGAAACCATTTTTATTTGTTAAGGATTATTATTAAACAATTATTTTCACAATTCATCATAAAAATAATATTTTTGTTTGATATTGCAAACAAAACATATAGAGATAAACTTGGGGACTATTAAGTGATGTATCATAAAAGACCAACGGTTAAGTTTACATTTTTGAAATGTTGTATCAGAAATGTCAACAAATAATATTTTGGCAAGATAGCAATCAGCTTAAATGACAACAAAATTTCAAAAAAAATTTCATCCCTGTGGCTAGCTAGTATACTAGCAGATTGATAAGTAAAGATAGTCTAAATGATATTTGATAAACAGTTAAATATTTTACAAATTCTTAAATGCTAATATTAAGTAGGAATATTAATAACCTTGCCAGTGTTACCAGTAGCAATTGCTGAATGCTCATTTTTTTTTAAACATTCCTGTAAAAAACTTAGGTACATTTTATTTATATAAATAGAACTTACTTGTCAGTATCCTGTTAGATCAATATTATACACAAACTATGTTAATATTCAAAACATACTCTGTACGTGTTGTGGTTAAGTCAGAACTTATTTCATTTTTTTAATGCTAAATTAAACAAAAACTGACAAACAACACAAAATGTAAAAGTCTAAGCATTAGAAGTGTTAAATCTACAATATCACATATACATACAGCAGGTTATAAAGATCACCATTTTTCATATGCTCAATTTTTTACTGTATCATTTCCCTATAAAATACTTCAGACCATTGACACATGGGAAAGAGGAAAACAAAACAAGTGTCAAAACCACACAGTGTATGAACTGTTGCTTGACATTCTCCTAACACAAGTTAAACTACTCAGTATTCAAGAAAGCACAGTACAGTAGATACCTAGTGTCATTTACTGTAATAAACTGCTGATTTTATTGAGACAATGTTCAATGTTACACTTTTACAGTACAATCCCACCAAGTACCCTTTCTCACAGAAAACTCCAGTCATCATTCTTTTAACAAGTATTTAATCAAGCAATCATTACCTGTCACATTTTCATAGCTTAGCAACTTATGGAACAATATCTGTATATTAACCTAATTTTTACCCAGGTTAAATCTGACTAACAAATTCATGACTGTAATGTATCAATAGATAAAATAATCATCTCTCTACCAATAAAAACTTTATCTGAAGATGAACAATGATAAGAATCTGATGAAGGCACCTAACTATGAATTATTCAACTATAAAATCACAATAAAAACCTCCTTTTATATTACACGATTTTCTAGTAAAGATGACTTTTATCATTGTAAGGTACATTGATATTATATATGTAGTGATGTTGTTTTAATTAACTACATCAAAACATACATTAATTATACCAAATACATTACATAAAATTAGGATTTATATGATGATATCAAACATAATTATACACTGATAAATTTTGCATGTTTTAGTGCAAAAAGGATGAACATATGTGAATAAATGAACAAGATATAATCTTCATTCTATATAACATCATATCCTGCCATTTTCACATATACAATACTGTATATATAGATACAATATATTTTTTTCTCTACCAAATGCATCTAAATACCACACTTATATAGTCAGTCAATATTTTAACAAATATTTTATTTAACTTTTAAAGACCTTTATATTAAAATACTTTTCATTAAAATGAGAATAACATATCTTGATATTGTAGAAATGAGCAAAAAAAACAACGACACTGTTTTCATCTTTTAATACATTAATTTCATCCATAAAATTTCAAATCTTAAATTAAATATCTTTTTTTTTAATTTGTAACATTTTTTGTATGCATGTAGTAATAAATCTCCAGACAATTTTAAGACACAAAATGGTAAGATGTTTTGTTTGGCATGTTATAAAGATTTCTAGTCTAATCATTCTTTAAGATGTCTATATATAACAGACCACAGGTTATTAAGGAACAAACTAGCACTACATACAGGATAAAGTGGCAAATAACTCCTTCACTAGAACACTTTATACTTTATCACATACCTTAATAGACATTTATTCCTTTCTATTGTTTCCTTCAACAAAACTCACCAGTAAATTGGTTGCTTTTTTGTGTGCTTTTATATCATTATTTATCACTGTTCAATAGAATGTTTTTTGTTCTTGTGTTTATGTACAACTATTGAAGTAACACCAGTAATGTTACACCAATCCACCTCTGTACATTACTTTGTGTACAAGTTGGCACTTTGAATGCCCCCTTTACCTTCTAAAAGGTGAATAATTTTATCAAGTTAGATCATTCAAAATCTGTACAAATGTTTAACCCTTAACTCAAGCCTGAACTGAAGATAATTAACCTTTGTGACATATATAGAACCAGGGGCCAGCCTGCTGCACATCTGTGCAATCTGAACAGACTGTATTGATGATTGCTCAGTTTTTTGTAATTTTGTTAACTGAATTGAATAGACTGTGATTCCAATTCAAAGCTGGGCCAATTACAGAAAGCTCAGGTTAAGAGCAAACAATTTACAACAAAGAAAGTCAAGACAAATGATTTAACCTGTCAAACATTGGAACTTAAAGTGATAAGTTTTTGCAAGGTCAGTGTGAGGAACTATACAATTTGATGAGAGTTACCTGATTATATATAATCCTGACACTGAAATGTTTAAAACCTAAACAAATGTTTCAAATTTTACGCATGTCAAGCTTGTTTTGGCAAACTAAGTCTGATGGTATCTGTAGTTCAATGACTCTTATAGAAATAGTTATTGTCTTCAAACAGTCAATATTTAGTTTTTACAGATTTGAAGCAACTGTGACATTGTTTTAAGATCATAAAACACAGAAACTTTCTAGATTAAAGTTATAGCCACCTTGGCCCAAGTTTTCTTTTTATCTGTGTGATATGAATACAGACAAAACTAAATAACAAAATAAAATATAATAAAAAGAACTAAAGAAAATATAAATCTTGCTCTGGTTTAAATGGTGTTTCATCTTAAATAGATATAACAATATTCATCAGTAGTTTCAACTTATTTTCTATTTCTGGTTTTACACTGAATATATTTTTATAGTATCTATAGTGATTTATATGGACTTCACTGTAAACATTGCCTGTCTTTCCAAAGATTTCCCCCTACTCCATTTGCACTATTAATTTAGGGACAAATTACGGCATATCTTTCCACAATAGTAAGAACTCTCTCTCTATATAGCCGCATTTTTATTAAACTGATCAGAAACCTTTTATTTCTGCGTAAATTAAATTATCTCTTGTTATACACAAAACATTGTCTGCTCTATTAATTATTTTGCTCTATTCCTATACAGGGGTATGAATGAAAGTTCCAATATCTAGTGCAAAAAAGATGTGATGATGATGTGATGATGATCATCTAATTGAACCCACGTCAATAAGAATATTTAGACAACAAATCTCCAATCACGTAGGCACAGAGTCTATGAAAAAAAACAACAGCGTACAAAGAAACATTCAATAGCAAATGCACAAAAAACTGCATTTATACAATGACAGTTCATTTTCTTTTTATATTTGTGTGTAAACATTAATGATGTAGCAGAATAAGTGTGATCGCTGCTCAGCTGTTACCACAACAGAAAAGAAGAAAAAGCAAAAATCGGAGAGGCTTGTTATTATTATGGTGTTGTGAATAGAAAATATTCTAGCGTTGGATTTACTTGAATAAAGATTGGAATTAAATGATGTGTGTAATTAATATTCGTATGTGTTAAAAGGAAATGCGTGCTCACCAGGACACATGTGGAATATCTCGGATAGTACCGTGCCTAATAAAAGTAACAATTCAGACACGGATGCGGTTGACGCAGTGGTCTACAACTGGGAGGTACTCGTGTTACTGCCGATAATGTTGTTTGGAATGACAGGAAATATTCTTGTGTGCATGGCTGTATCTATGGAGAAGCGTTTACAAAGCGTGACCAACTACTTCCTATTGTCATTGGCAATTACCGATCTTCTAGTGTCCGTAATTGTCATGCCTCTTAGTATTGTTCATCAATTCTTTGGTAAGTTTCCGATAAAAATAAAAAATCTCTCAGCTGAACATTGTCACAAATGCCGTTCAATAATGAAACACAGCAAAATGTCATTCAGTTAGCAAATAACAAGAAATGTCAATTTTGTTTTGTTGTTTTTACGAAGCTTAATATACTGTTGTTTAACAAACTAGGCTACAGGTTACCTTATTATACAATACCCATGTACCAAGTATGCTTCATTTTGATTCTCTATGCAAAAGATAGACCAACTTTTTTCCCCGCAATGAAACGATCTCATATAATATTTTGATTTTAATATACAGTTCAAATACATACATTTTTTTTTTTATTTCAAAATTCTGTAACTGAAACTCTGATTTAAGCAAAATCTCTTTTTGGAAAAAACTGGGAAAAAAAAAGAACACCTGTATTTCAACTGAATCAAATTACACGATTCTATCTTTGTAAACATTGTATATGATACCGCAGTGTGTTGAACTCATTACTAAATAGTATATTTCTTTAAATGACTTTTAAAAAGTAGCTTTGTTTTTTGAAAAAAAAAAAATCAACAAAAAACACCTGGAAGTTTCATTTATGGAAGAAATAAAATATGGTATACAAAAGAAAAAAAAAATACAAACAAAAACTCACAAAGACTGGATTAAATGTTAAAATGGGGAAAAAAAACACTAACTGTAGCAAAAAAACCCCAAAAAACAACACTGTATCATATCATATATCAAGTAAAGATGAGAGGTAATACTTGGTCAGGTAAAGTATAATAACTGTAGTCAATTACACTTCTGGTATAAAATAAGGCAATCTCTTATACAATCAAACATACCAATTTATTCTAGACCTTTCTCAAAGTTCTTGAATGTTAATTAACTCTTCACTTAATAGCAAAATAACACTTTCATGTCAAGATATTACATGAAAATTGCACCCATTTTTAATAAGCAATCAGACTTACAAAACAAAACTAATCAGTGAAATATCAAGTTTAATTACTTTAGCCTTAAGTGAATTCTAAAATTAATGTTGTTTTTTTTCCAAAATATTTTCTTCCCCCTCAAATTTATATTAATCTTTTACTGAAACAAACAAAAAAGCCACATGAAGTCAAACTATACCAGGTTTCCAAAACTATCTTAATGTTTTATGGTTAAAGTTTATATCTTTAAACTACAAAATTAATAGTTTTAAATACATTTCCAATAAACTATTTAATCAAAATGTTCCATAAGTATTAAACATGTAAAAGAAAGCAGATTCATTAATGAATTTATCAGGCTAAGTTAAACTGTTACATTACGTAAGAAATGTTAGAAAGCCATTAAACACACATGTCAACCATTTTGTTCATTATGTTATTGTATAATATATACAGTAAATATAATCATTATATCAATTAGTTAATACAGCTCCAATAATTATCTCAGATATACTGGTTGGAGACCACCAAAACCGGACAACCATCAAACCCGGACGGCCCAGAAAATGCTTAATTTTGTATTTTCTTTGTTCAGTGGATGTCAGTCACTTTTTTACCAACAATAAATGCATGTTTCTTCTATAATTAATTAAATAAATTTATTCAACCTCCGTAACTGGTAATATTTTAATGTCTATTTCAAGAATGTTGACGTTGAAATTTGGGGGCCAGGAAAGCAATGCCTGACCTCATATACCAGCTATAATCATTTGCAGAGTAAACAATAGAATATCCAAAACTTCAGCATTTGTTGCTGACATATTGTATATCATGTTAAAAATCAAAAATCAAAACACCCAAGCTTTTATCTGAATTAAATCACGTCATGTACATATCTGTCCGGACACATGGTACTGTAGTGTAGACAATTTAGGTAATTTTGATACCCTCCTTGTCGGGCCTCAGATATAAGTGTCAATACATTCAGAAATAAACAAACTAGTTTGTAAGTTAGGGGAAGAACCTAGCTGAACTGTGTCAAATTTTTAGGTCTCTATGTTAAAAATTATGAAATCTGTACGGAAAAATGTTCAAAAAGTGTCCGGTTGATGGTTCCCGACCAGTAGAGGTAACTTTTCTTTGATAAACTTCTCCAATTATTTATCTGTGAATGTGTTCAGTTTTCACCAAAAAATAATGCCATAATATACTAGTTAACAACAGAACACTTGCTAGTATATCAGTAAGTTGTAGATATTAGATATAAAATAGTATCATTGAACATGTTTTAAATATTCTGCAATGATAGGGAAACATACCCTATTACTACAGGTGTCAATAAAAGTTTATTTTCAATATCGTGAAATAAACTTTTGACAACAAAGTTGCATTTTTCCTGTCCTAGTTTGACCAAAGCACAATGTTTTTATTTCAAATACATTATGACAAACTTCTTGGCCAATGTCAAGATCATAACTCTAATTTCTAAAAATGCAAAAAATTAAGAGTAAAACCATTAACTAATTCATTTTAATAATTAAATTTCAATTAAAAATCAGTGTATTTAAAAGTATACAAAAACAAGAGGGCCATGATGGCCCTAAGGTCGCTCACCTGTATGTAGGCCCCCGGAGCGGGGCCAGTTTAAACCCCAGGGCTTTTATTTGAACAAACTTGGAAGACACCTATAAGAAGACGTTTCATGATGTACACACTTATAATGAAAAACAATGATCTGCCCTCCCCTACCCCCGGCAGGGCCAATTTTAACCAAGGGCTTTTATTTGAACAAACTTGGTAGACACCTATAAGAAGATGTTTCATGCTAAACATCTAAGCGCTAGCTCATTGTGTTTTTTTTAAAGAAGATTTTTAAGTTTTTACTATACACATATAGTTAAAAACAATGACACCCCTGGGGCGGGGCCAGTTTTGACCCCAGGGCTTTTATTTGAACAAACTTTGTAGACACTTACTAGAACATGTTTCATGCTTAATATCTAAACTCTAGCTATTTGGGTTTTTTCAAAGATGTTTTTTAAGTTTTTCCTAAACACATATAAGGAAAATCAATGACCCCCAGGGCAGGGCCAATTTTGACCCCAGGGCTTTTATTTGAACAAACTTTGTAGACACTCACTAGAAGATGTTTCATGCTTAATATCTTAACTCTAGCTATTTAGGTTTTTTCAAAGAATACTTTTTAAGTTTTTGATAAACACATATATAAGGAAAATCAATGACCCCCGGGGCGGGGCCAATTTTGACCCCAGGGCTCTTATTTGAACAAACTTGGTAGACACCCATTAGAACATGTTTCATGCTAAATATCTTAGCTCTAGCTCTTTGAGTTCTTTAAAAGAAGATTTTTTAAGTTTTTACTATATACATGTACATACAGGGAAAATCAATGACCCCCTGGGGCGGGGCCAATTTTGACCCCAAGGCTTTTATTTGAACAAACTTGGTAGACACCCATTAGAAGATGTTTCATGCTAAATATCTTAGCTCTAGCTCTTTTGTTCTTTAAAAGAAGATTTTTTAAGTTTTTGATATACACATATATAAGGAAAATCAATGACCCCCGGGGCGGGGCCAATTTTGACCCCAGGGCTTTTATTTGAACAAACTTGGTAGACACTCATTAGAACATGTTTCATGCTAAATATCTTAGCTCTAGCTCTTTGAGTTCTTTAAAAGAAGATTTTTTAAGTTTTTACTATATACATATAGGGAAAATCAATGACCCCCTGGGGCGGAGCCAATTATGACCCCAGGGCTTTTATTTGAACAAACTTGGTAGACACCCATTAGAACATGTTTCATGCTAAATATCTTAGCTCTAGCTCTTTTGTTCTTTAAAAGAAGATTTTTTAAGTTTTTACTATATACATATAGGGAAAATCAATGACACCCCTGGGGCGGGCAATTTTGACCCCAGGGCTTTTATTTTGAACAAACTTGGTAGACAACCATTAGAACATGTTTTCAATGCTAAATATCTTAGCTCTAGCTCCATGAGTTCTTTAAAAGAAGATTTTTAAATTTTTTACTATATGCATACAGGGAAAATCAATGACCCCCTGGGGCGAGGCCAATTTTGACCCCAGGGTTTTTATTTGAATAAAATTGGTAGACACCTACAAGAAGACGCTTCATGCTAAATACCTAAGCTCTAGCTATTTTTTTTAAAAAAAAAAGGTTTGTTAAGTTTTTACTATATACATTTAACGAAAATCAATGACACCCTGGGGCGGGGCCAATTTTGACCCCAGGGCTTTTATTTGAACAATCTTGGTAGACACCCACTAGAAGATGTTTCATGCCAAATATCTAAGCTCTAGTTCTTCGGGTTCTTTAAAAGAAGGTTTTTTAAGTTTTTACTATATACATATAGGGAAAATCAATGACCCCCTGGGGCGGGACCAATTTTGACCCCAGGGCTTTTATTTGAACAATCTTGGTAGACACTCACTAGAAGATGTTTCATGCCAAATATCTAAGCTCTAGCTCTTTCGGTTTTTTAAAAGAAGATATTTAAAGTTTTTTCTTTTGGTTGCCATGGCAACCAGAGTTCTGCATGGAATTAAATTCTTTGAACAATTTTTAAAGGTGACCACCAAAGGAACATTCCTGTGAAGTTTGGATGAAATTGGCTTAGTGGTTTATGAGGAGATGTCATTTAAAGTAAAAGTTTACGGACGGACGGACGGACGCCGGACGAAAAGCGATCACAAAAGCTCACCCTGTCACTTTGTGACAGGTGAGCTAAAAATCAATAAAGTCTATCATATTTATTATTTCTTTACTGCAGACTACATAAGTTAAGTTTATACCATAATAATTTTGATATATAATATATGGTTCATGTCACAATACCCTTTCAAAATTATACTCTAGATTTGGCTAAAATCACCCAGGCTGCCATAACCATTATGGAACAACAATATTTTTATAGTTTCAACTAATATCTTAAGAAAGTGTAAATATCTTTAATTGAATATGAAAGCAATGAAGTTCAAATGGGTCAAAAGTAGAAACAGCTTAAAGTGCACTACATTAGTTTATATAGAACTTTGATTGTTAACAT